TCAGAGACTTTTCAAAGCATTTTTTTTACTACCTCTTTGGCCAGAGAGGTTGCAGAAAAAAATGCTTTGAAAAGCCTCTGACGATCCCAGCTGAGCCGCATGATCATCAGAGACCTTTTTTTTTTTTTCTTTTAAAAGCATGATCCGGTCCGAACCGGGAGCATTTCACCCCTGGTTCATGGTGAAAAAAAGATTGAGAACCAGTGCTTTAAGGGGGGAAAGGTGAAAATCCTTCTTATTTAGGAAAACAAACTGTGCATTTCAGAATGAAAAGAGGAAAAAACAAAATATGAAGTTCTTTCCTCTCGACACTTCTCCTTTAAATGTAAAAGTTGACTATGTTGAATAAAGGTGACATACAGTTTACACAATATCAGCTTCTCTGATTGCATCATGATTTCTGTGCCAAATGTTAGGTGATTATATGAGGTTCCCACTGAAGTTTATGGCTGGACAGCCTGGGTTACTTTAGCATCTGTTTTTATTTTAGCATTTCAGTAGTTTATAAATATACTCTACTTTTCCTATTTCTCTACTCTACTTTATCCTATTAATCTTTAAAACTCTGGTTATGTTCTATTAAGTTTAACCAGATAGATTTTAACAATGTTCTGTTATTATCAGTAGTGAAATCTAAAATTTGTTACCACCGGTTATGTGGGCGTGGCTTGGTGGTGGTGGGGTAATGTGACTGGGTGGGTGTGGTCTTTTTTTTTTTTACTTTTAAAACCATTTTTTCTACAACCTCTTTGGCGAAGAGGTTGTAAAAAAATGCTTTCAAAAGGCTCTGATGATCCCAGCTGAGTTGCCTGATTGGCAGAGGCTTTTTTTTCTTTTAAATGCCTCTGATGATCCAAGCTGAGTTGCCTGATCAGCAGAGGCTTTTTTTCTTTTAAATGCCTCTGACAATCCAAGTTGAGTTGCCTGATCGTCAGAGGCATTTAAAAGAAAAAAAGCCTCTGCCGATCAGACAACTCAGCTGGGATCGTCAGAGCCTTTTGAAAACATTTTTTCTACAATCTCTGAAGAGGCTGTAGAAAAAATGCTTTTAAAAGCCTTTGACGATCCCAGCTGAGCCGCGCAATCATCAGAGGCTTTTTTTTTTTACTTTTAAAAGTATTTTTTTGGCCGAAGAGGTTGTAGAAAAAATGCTTTTAAAAGTAAAAAAAATGCCTCTGATGATTGTGCAGCTCAGCTGGGCATGGGGAGGGGCAGGAATTTTTGCTACTGGTTCTCCGAACCACCCGCCTCTATCGCTATCGGATCAGGCGATCCGGTCAGAACCGGGAGCATTTCACCCCTGGTTATTATGGTATTATGTTGCCTATTGCCCTTATACTCCACAGTCATTATTTGTCAGCAAAATACCCATTTTAAAATTCCAAACCAGCTCAACATTGACTAGGGTGCTGCTTTTTACCCCCCTGTGATTGCTTTGATATTTTTCAAAGATGTGGTATTACTTTGATGGTGAAATTAAAATATTTGAGAGAGATACTTTAGACTCCCTTGGGGGTTTTTTGGTGAATGGTCGACACTCTTCTCAGCGAGGCCTTCCTGCAGGCTGAATGGTTTGCCTGCATCAGATAGTGAAGAGTTAATGTTTCCCATGCTTTAGCCATATGACTGGCACATGATAGATTCCATCCTGTCATGTGAAGCTTGATATGTTCTGACTGGGGTGCTCTGCATCCGGAGTTTATTTATCTTGTTGAATTCTTTTTGGAGTGAAGGACAGTGCTGAATAAACAAAGGGCTGAAGCTAATTGCTTGGGCAGGGCTTAGTAGGAATGGTGCCCTGACAAAAACTTGCTAAGATTCTCCATACCTAAGGAAATACCAAGAACAGCCCCTTAATCCATCTTCATAAAGAATTATTAGTGTAATAGATAGAAGAAAAAGATGATTTTAATACCTCCCTGCCCACAATTTCATTTCTCTCTTGTAATACTTTTCCTATTGTCATTATGCCAAATACAGGTGGCAAATCGACTTACATCCATTCATTTAGTGACCATTCAAAGTTATTACAACATTGAAAAAAGTCACTAATGACCATTTTTCAGACTTAAAATCATTGCAGCATCTCCTGGTCACGTGATCAAAATCCGGCCACTTGGCAACTGGCATGTACTTTTGACGGTTGAAGGGTCCCAGGGCCATGGGATCACCTTTTGCAAACGTCTGACAAGCAAAGTCCATTGGGAAGCCAGATTCACTTAACAACTGTGTTACTAACTTAACAGCTGCAGTGATTCACTTAAGAACTGTGGCAAGAAAGGTCATAAAATGGGGCAAAACTCACTTTAAAATGCTTCATTTAACAACAGAAATGTTAGGCTCAACTTTGGTTGTAAGTCAAGGACTGTCTGTATCCCTACATTGTAAGGTTTTGTAACTTGCTGTGCATGCGGTAAGAAATATTTTAATACCATAGTGAAATTGGCATGGATAGCTAAAAATCCAAAGCAATTTCTCAGAGAGTTTATATATCAAACTAAAGTTCAACTGAAATGTACCATATTTTTTGAAGTATAAGACGCACCTTAGTTTTTGGGGAGGAAAATAAGAAAAAAGCTGATTGGTGGGTGGATCAGCCTCCCGGAATACCCCCAATCAGCTGTTTCCAGAGGTGAATTTTAGCAACAGGTTCCTTGGTTGTGAGCTCTGTGCCTTGCTTTTTTTTCTGCCTCTGAAACTTCTGAAACTCTGTTTCAGAAAAAAACTTTCTTTCTGCCTCTGAAAGCCTTCGAAACAGAGCTTCAGAAAAAAAGGCTTTTTTTTAAAGCTTTTTTCAGAGGCTTTTTTTCTGAAGCTTCTTTCAGAGGCTTTTTTCAGCTTCTGAAATCTCCATTTGTGAGGCTGGGTGGGATTACATTCAGAGTATAAAACGCACCCAGATTTTCACCCTCTTTTTTGGGGGAAAAAGGTGCGTCTTATACTCTGAAAAATATGGTATGTCCCATTTCCCAAATTAGAAAGGCATGGCTGCAGGTTAATATTTTCCTAACCCTCCCAGGTTTGTTGGGCTACACTGTAATACGGTCTGGAAGATGATGGGAGTTTACAGTTATGGCAGATTATGGGGAACTTGTATCATAGAAGACATTAGACTAGAGAAAGCTAAGATAAACCATGGTGTCATGCAGCTCTTCTCATGGCTGCTGTGATTTAGACCATGGTATCAAAATCTCTAAGGGATGCAGTGGCTCAGTGGCTAAGATGCTGAGCTTGTCGATCAAAAGGTTGGCAGTGCAGCGGTTCGAATCCCTAGTGCCGCGTAACGGGGTGAGCTTCCGTTACTTGTCCCAGCTTCTGCCAACCTAGCAGTTTGAAAGCACGTAAAAAATGCAAGTAGGGACCATCTTTGATGGGAAGGTAACAGCGTTCCGTGCGCCTTTGGCATTTAGTCATACCAGCCACATGACCACGGAATTGTCATCAGACAGCGCTGGCTCTTCGGCTTTGAAAGGGAGATGAGCACCGTCCCCTAGAGTCCGGAACGACTAGCACATATGTGCGAAGGGAACCTTTACTTTTACCTTATCAAAATCTCTTGAAAAGGAAATGTGATTTTTAAAAAAAAAAATGCTGCAATTATGTAAGCAAGCCAGAGACCCCACATAGTCACATAACCATGACTGTGGCCACCTTCAGGAGATAATTCCAATCTAAACTCTTTTGTTGGGCAATCTGCAAACTGAAGTTTTATGTTGCAGCCCCTACGTTAAATAAACTGCAACAAAGCAAGTGGAACAAAACTAAAGCTACTTTCACAGTACAAAAATATGGGGGAGGCTTGGAATTGTAGTACAGCAGAGTTTCTGTTGGGACATGCTCAGAGTCTATGAAAGGGCAGGATTGTTTCCATGACAAGAATGCATGATACAGCCACTTCTCTACAGGAGCCAGGCTGTTTCTTCCCAGAGCACTGGAATACTCTTCCCTTCTGTTCCTTTTTCTTTCTTTTAAAATCTTTTTTTGTCCTTTTACAACACAACAATGCAGATAATAAAAAATAAAGTCAATTGCTTCAACAAGTGTCCTCAATAAATGGATGATGGAAATGTTCATCCAGCATTTCAAAAGAAACTAAATTGTGTCATATCACAGGCAAGATCAAATTGCATTTACAAATAGTGAAAAAATGCAGCCCAAGTCAGATAAATAACTAAAATGGGACAAGAAAAGTGAATGTGGTTATGTTGCAATTATATTCTTTTCTAATTTTTCATTCTTTTTTAAATAACCGAAAGTTTCGATTAATTTGCATATCGTAGTTTTTTTAGTGCATTTTTTTTCTTTTACCAGAAGAGGATCTTGTAGTGTTTGAGAGTGATTTACAGTAAAACAGACATGAGAAGACTCAAGCGTGCTGAATCTTTTTGTCCTAGAACAAAGACATCATAGTGCAAACCAGTTCAAATACTGGTTTGAACTGTGGGCCAAAGGGGTGGGGGCAGGAATGAAATGCTACTGGTTCATTCCGCTTCGGTAGAACCGGTAGTTAAAAAAGCTACCAGTTCAGTGGAACCGGTAGTTTAAAAAAGGAAATCCTGCTTTCTAGCGAAGCTAAATTGCACGGCACAGCTGTTCCCGCCCCTCGCTGTTCTACTTATCTAGTAAAGTCTTCTTTTTCTGTGCGAAGCGCGCATTTGGTGCACAGTGTGCGCATTTGGTGCACATGCAGTGTGCTTTTGATGCACATGCATGCATGCAGTGCACATTTGGCACACAGTGCATGTTTGGCACGCAGTGCACAATTCGCACACAATGCACATTTGGTACGCACCACGCATGCGCTGGCAGCGAACAGTGGCAATCCGAGAGGATTCCACCACTAGGTGGGGGATTGGAAAAGCCAATTAATTATTATTTCCTGTGAGCCACACAATAAAGGGGAAATCTAAATCTAACCAAAGCAACAATTCTAAATCGTTTTATTTAAGAGAGAAAAAGCAGATCTGTAATTCCTAAACAAGTTGGAGACAAAGCCTTACCAATCTACTGCTGATCATCCAGTCCTGAATAAAAGATTTCAATCTAGGTTTAGCCCATTCCAACTAAACACAATGCTTCCAGTCTCCTGCATCATGGAGATAAGCAGTCGGTTGCAGACTCCGACTTCAAGTTCAGCATGTCCCAGCTCACTACTGTGGTTTCTTCTGCCCAAGTATCAACACTCCTGTCTCAATGACAAGGAAACACCCCATGCAAAACAACAGAGAGGATAGGAAGGCTGTGCTCAGCGGGCCTCCCACATGTGCACCAGTTGGGCCTGTTCTGGAGAAAATTCAGCCTGCAAGGAAAGCACGCCCTTCTCTCACCGCATCGATCTGAAGATCACCAAGTAACTGGTAATATCATCTCAGTGTAGGAATGACGTAGATGCCTTTTGTGACCACAGCCAGCAAACAGCAGCAATTTCCCCTGAGGAGAGTTTGGAGCAGAGGAAGGGTCTGTAGACTTGTTGCTTCCAGGAAGGCGCATTCTTCTGCTTCAAGTTCTGAGCCTGGAATTTTTTTTAAAATAAAACAGAGATGCGGAAACAAGTCCTTTTGGCAGGCAAACATACTGCCAGATGGAGTGGGAGGAGATGGAACATTTCTGCACAAGTCCTAGCCCTTTGCCAGTCAGCCAGCAAGATTTAGAATCTTAGATCTCAATATCTCTACTAGCAAGTGCTAAACATCAAAGGCAGCTCCTTATGTTACCTGATACGTAGTGTAATATTTTGTTTCCCGCAAAGTGGACATTCCCTTGAAGAAGAGATGCCGCCTGACTCCTAAAAGCCTGAGTCAATAAGAAAAGCAACCTTCACTCCCTTAGCAAAATAAAAATAAAACACGTGCACCAGTTGGTATGCACAACAAGTAAAAATCAGTTGAGAGGTCCCATACTCTCTATCTATGGCTTTGCCAAAAAAAAGGGAGAGAGTTTAACATAGTTATCTCTTAATTGCAATGCTCCTCACTCTCCTGACTCAAAAGAAATTTTAGGGCAACTGCATGGAATCCATTCTCTTTGTGAAGATGATACTGAAGACCTGAGCTTAACTGCCCAGTGGTCATGTTAAAAAAAGAAAAATATTACAGTAGATGTTACCTCCAGGAAGACCATGTACTCTAGAAAACCTTCTGCATAATCTCCTATGTGAAGTGGTAAATAGTGGCTATCCAACAGCGAAGAAAAATACATTTTGTACATTCTCAGAAGCATCAACTAAATTCATTATATTATCACATTTGCCAAAGCTCAGCATGTTTCTTGGGTTAAATCTTCACTATGGATTTGCCAAAATTTCCTAGGACCTGTTTTATATCATTGTTTATCCCAATCTGGTGTTCTCCAGATGTATAAATCTTTAGTATCCAAAGGTCAGGTTGGCTAGGAGTTCTGGGAACTGAAGTCCAACACATCTGGATGCTATCAGATTGAGGAATGCTATTTAAACTTTTAACTAAAACTAAAAGCCTTGGAATCTGAACTCAGAGCTTCATAAGTTTGCCAGCTGAAAATTGAGAAAAAATGTTCTTTACTGCCGTCTTTATTACAACTTTGTAGAAGTTGTACAACTTTATTACAACTTTCTACAATTACAATTGTAGAATTGTTAGCATCTCGTCCTATTCTATACCACAAAATCAGATGCCAAAGAGCTTCTGCATATACGTTTCTTATACAGCAACAATTTTTTGCTGCACTGAAAGTGGCTTCTGAGGGTCCCTTAAGATGCCATTCTGATTTTTTTTTTCTATTCTATTTTTATATGACAGGACATGACATAACATGACATGACATGACATGACATACCATCGATGCAAATGACATTAAGTAACAAGAGACAGCCTTCCTGCAGAAAGGAACTCATAATCTAAAAGTCAACAAGACCTCAACAAAGGAACAGGAGAGACATGGAGGCAGCAAGAAACAGAGGGAAAATAGATGGTGATGCCAGAAGAATGGCTCCTACTGTTATCAATTGTACAGCTATTTCATCGTTTTCTCCTTCATAGACTTTTTGAATAATGAAAAGGGATCAAAACAACAATAGGAGAAAAGAGTTACGAATGGGAAACAATGTCATTGGAAACCTTTCGTATGTTTACAAATGAAGGACCACAGTAGGGTTCTTGGGGTTCTCTCAACATGGTTCTATGCTTTTATTACCTAACTAGGTAACATGTCCTACAGTCATGTTTGGGCTGTTGTTGATAAGCTTCCCCCCCCCTTTCTTGAGTTCTCTGTACTTTATACTAAAAGTTGTATAAATATAATTCCTCTTCTAGCAACATTGGAGGGAATTCCTATCATGTCTGTTGTTGATTTCAACATCCTGGATGCTTTTAATACTTGGAAAGTTCTTCATTTTTTTCTTGCAAAGCATGCCTGGCTTACTATTAATAATTCCACTTAGCAGGGGAAAAGAATACTGCTAGGAAACAAGACCTGCCTTCTGAAGAGACAGCCCTCTGGGCCTGGTCTGCACTTTTTAGACCACCAAATTGGTAGTTAAATCTTCCTAAGTGCATGCACATGCATACAGACACACACTCAATAAAAAGCATTTTTCCTTATTTATAGACTATCTAGTTAAGCTTTTTCTTTGCCATATTGAATTTTGACACTGAGGAATTTGGTTTTTGTTTTTATGATGTTTTAAATAAGCGAGCATCTACCTGCCAGCTGAGCTAACAAAACCCAGACATCTTACATTTTACATCTTAGATGTTAAGTCAGAGAATGATAACAATTCTAGGTGAGGGCTGTTTATCTCTCCAAGGATTATGCAACATATGAAAATATATGATTGCCTTGAAGGTAGCAAACACTGGAGGAAATTGGTTATCACTAGATAGTCTATAAATAGTCTATAAATAAGGAAAAATGCTTTTTATTGAGTGTGTGTCTGTATGCATGTGCATGCACTTAGGAAGATCTACGTGACCGGAAAGGCTCACCCCAGAGTATGTAAAAAGTATTGCTTACTTTGCATTCAACTCATGCTCAACTGAAAAAATAGCATAAATATACTAAGAGACAATCCATATCACCAATGTATACTCTGTGAAGCTAAGATATTGATTTCATCAAATTGGGTTTACCACTTAAAATGAGCAACTGAGTAACATAACCCAAAATGTGATCAAAATATAAACTGAAACAAAGCTAATGTTTCTCTGAAATGGAGTTGTCAAATTTTAACTGGAAGCAACAAAAACTTTAGCAAGACTACATGAATACTGAACTCTTGAGGATATAAACATACATATATTGTATATACATATCAAGTCTTAATTACTTGACCTGTATTTGATTTTATGAGAAAAGCCAGTCTAGTTCATCTATTCATTAAGTAGTAGAATAACCTTCCCTACTTCCGTTTCATTACACTATCATTTGGATGGAGTCATACAATTGTCTATATAATTCTTAATTTAGTGTGAGTCTCAAAATAAATATGCAGCAAACATTCTCACATTTGCACATTTCCCTAATCCGCAGCCTCTTTCACTTCATTATTCCATCAAGCATCATTTTTCATTTTTCCTCTTGTAAAATTCCACATGCATACTTTTTCATACAAGATACAAAATTACTCTCCCTGGAGTTGTTCTATTTTCTTTCTGTTTCCCTCCCCCCCCACTTTCTTTTTTTCTCCATGCCCATCCATATTTCTTCTTTACCTTTGCAAAGATTCCTTTCCTACTGCAGAATATTTGAACCACTATCCCTCTGGCATTTATTTTGCTATTTCTGACTGCAGCATTTTGCAATACTTGAAATATCCATAGGAATTTCAGGCAGTCCTAAACAGACTATATATAATATAATCTATTTCTCAAAAAAATTGAGGAACAGGGAGCAAGTCAATTCCATTATTTCCTACAAATGAGAAAACTCCAGACAGAGTCAAATATGCTTTATTATATAAGCATGGCAGAAGAATATGTCTTTGAACTCATAACCAGTGAACACCCCACCCCAAGGAAATAGATAACTGCCTGTCCTCAGTACATTACAGAAATTGTAAGTAGCTATGCTCATTAGATTTGGATCTAACCTTTTTCCATGAGAAAAATCATGTGCTCTGTGTTTACTTCTCACTTCTCCTTGTATCTTGACACCCCATTATTAAGTCAAAGTAAAATACACCGGAAATATCCCACCTTTGCCAGATGGCATTTTAAATGAAAGAGTCTTGCATATTACTTATTTCCTTACATAGAGCTCCATTATTTTTATATGCTCCATCCAACTACTTACATTTTTTTAATAAATAGCACAATTTCTGGTACTTGATTGAAATGAATGATAGAGAAACCTCAGTAAGAAGTGTTGGTTTTGACACAACAGTTTTAATTCGGAGGCTAATATATAAAATAAGGAGCACAAATGACTCCCAGGGAATGTGACCTTTCAGTAATCCATCCTTTTTCAAGAGGAATGTGGCATGGTAATAGAAAACAAAGGAAACTGCTTCATACTTAGTCAAATATAAACTTTAATACCATCAACATTGACCAGTACTGGCTCTCTAAGCTTTCTAGCAGTGTGTTTTTAGTTCTGCCTGGAGTTGCTCAATAATTAACCTGCAACTTTCTGTGTTCAGTGATGTCACAAGAGCCCACTTCAATGAGATGTTAGAACAGCTACCATTCCATAGCTTTCATCAGATTTCACCTTTCACAAAACTGCACAACAATAAACTTGGTCATTCTGCAAACTTTTTTGTAAATCAATTGTCCAATTACAGTGATCATGTGTGAATCTTTGCAGGAAGCAGCCAAAAGATCCACTGCTGCTAGTGACCAATCAGAAGGTATAGTGCCTGCCACTAGATTTTCTGGTGATCAAAGAATCACCAAGGAATCCAAATCTAGCCCTCGCTTAGATGGAAATGTTTCTCAGCTTTCATAAATCTAGTTTTCTACCACTCAGGAAAAGAATAGTCTGTTCTCTCTCCTATATGGGCTGCAAAGATCCAGATGGCTACTGGATCACCAAAGAGAAGTAGGAAAAAAAATGCATCACCTCGTTCTTGCTCCACAAGAAGCAGTTTAAACGAAGAGTGCAGAAACAGGCCACAAAGTAAGCAAACTTACGTGACTGGACCCTCTAATCAGAGCCCAGGAAAGCAGTTGAGCCTGTTCCTGCCCAGCAGATGAAGGAGTA